GGGAAATGCCTAGGAGATGAATACAGAATCACATAATAAAGCAATGTTTATTTATAAGAAAGTCCAAACTGTCTTCCAAAGCTGGGGAATTCTCACGAACAACGAATGAGGGTTTTTGTCATACCCACTCCTCACCAGCATTTGTGGTTGTCGGTGTTTGAATTGTAGCCTTTTTAATGAAGGTACGGTGGTATCAACACTGCTGTTTGACTTTGTAACCCTCTAAGGATATATGGGGGACCATGGTGGTGGTGTAGGTCATGTTTTGGGCTACAAGCCACAAAGTCGGTTGTCCAAATCCATCAGTTACTCCTTGCGAGAGAGGGTGCTGTTGACACGAGGAAACACACAAGGGCAGCATCACTGTCTAAGATGCTCGCTCTGAGTCGAAGGAGCTCCGTGAAAAAGGGCATTCATGACACGTGACGCTGAGCAGAGCCTGTCTATGTACCATGTGTGTATCTCTTTTACTGAAAGGTCTGTTCAGGTTTGTTTGTTTTTTGTCCATGATAAATGGGATGGTTTTCTGATCAAGTTTTAAGAATTCTCCATATCTCGTGGGAAGTATCCCTTGGTCAGAAATGTGACTTACAAATATTTTCTCCAAGTAGGAGGGTTGTCTTGTTATTCTATGAAGAGCGTTTCACAGTACACAGGCTTTCAGCTTGGCTGTGTTTGATGCTCTAAAGGCAGTCCCAACTCATCGTGATCCTGGATACAGCAGAACGATCCAGCCCCACCCGAGTCCTGCACGGTCCCCCCAATTGTCCTTAAGTTTCTGCACATCGTTGCCGTCACTGTGTCACCCCTTCTTGTTAAGGGTCTTCTTTTGCACTGCCCCTGTACTTGATTGAGGACAATTTCCTTGTCAATGGACTGACATGTCTAAACGTAAATAAGAAGTCCAAATTAGTATTATTTTCTTTTATAGTATACATTAGATAGTCCATCGGAATACTCTGGACCAAATCTATGGTCAACATAGGTTTTCTTTTTTTCTATTTAGGTCTATGATCCATTCTGAGTTACTTTTTGAAGATCCCAGACACTGACCATTTCACGACAATGCCGATCATGAATTTTGTGCACTGAAAATGCCACGGACTAAGGTGGACAATGGCTATTTAAACAAACCAGTGAGACACATTCCACATTTGCATTTAAAAATTAATTGCTGCAATAATTATTCATCATGGGAGCATAAAGTAAACAAATACAGCCTAGACTAAGCTCCTGGGCACCTGCGGGATTCTCCCCTCAAGAATGAATTGTCTTAATGATTCAGTGTGACAAATAATTTCTGCTGTTTTTTTTCAGATTGATGACAGAAAGAAGGGAGGATACAGATTCATATACAAAAAAGAAACAGGTTGAAAAATAAGATACAATTAGCCACTTTTCAAACTCTGGGCAACTTGTTCCCTTGTGATCGTTACTGCAACTACACGTCCATGGTTATTAAGCACAATCTGGTGGCCCGCAAATGGAGCCAAAGGTGAAATGTCGTTAGCAAAGGGCTGATACTAAAGTTAGCACACTTAAGTAGAATGGATTAACCGTAGGCAAACTGTTCCACCATAGCTATCCCAGCTGGAATATTTTGACTGACATATCAAGCCTGCATTGTTGGTGATTTGCATCTGCTGAAGGTGAAAGGCATTTTGGAAATAGGTGATGATGTTACCAGCAGAGAGCAGTCACTGGGGAAGGACATCACGCTTGGCAAAGTGGAGGATAGTGGGGATGAGAAAGACACTTGGCAAGATGGATGGACACAGCGGCTTCAACAATGGGCGCAATCACTAACAATTGTAAGGATGTCACAGGACGGGGCAGTGTTTCCTTCTCTTATACACAGTGTTGCTATGAGTTGGAGTTGACTCTATGACACCTAAGAACAACAACAACAACAATGATTGAGTGGCATACTAAGCAAAAGTAATGCCACTAAATTGTAGATGTGAGGAATATAGCAATTTTTAATTGTCAGTGCACGCATGTGTAGGATTGCTTTGCACCTTCGCCTTCCTGACCATTTTCATTAATCTGAAGTTTTCCTCATGAGAAATGAATCTGGTCACTGCAGCTTTCTTTTGATGAGCATTAGAAGGGAGTATTTCCCCATCACTTTATATTTAACTTGTCAACCATTCTTGTGGAGAGTCTTCTGTTTAAATTTAAGTTTAAATTCCTTTATATTTAAGGGAATCTATCGTGTAAATAAATAGCATAAACATGATTAGCATATATTTGAAGTTTTTCTTTTAATGCACTTTAAGATTTTCTTTCAGTTGATGTATTTAGAGTCTTCACATTTAAAATGATCAGTATACATAGAGATATAGCTACTGTATTTATAGCCACTCTCTAAATGGGCCTTGCTCTTGTCTTTGTATCCCTCTGTTGTCTTTCATCCAACCCCCCATCTCCATAGTTTGCAATTATATTGCAGTGAATTGCTTAATATGGTCCTCCTAGTTATGGTCTTTACAACTCTCACCAAATGACTCGACAGAGCTATGAACCAGCCAGGGGTAGAATGGCTTGCTAGTAAGGCAAATGAGATACTTCTTGTGCTTGAGTGAGGCTATACAAATAAGGTGTGGCATGGAGATGGGTCAGTTTTGCATTCCCACTATTTCTTTAAAGTGTATCATCCCAGAAGTGGAATTGGGACTCACACTGCCATCAAGAACAGAGACCCAGAGCAGAGCACATCCTTTGGACACAGTCCCTCTGTGATGATCCTCCTAGATCTAAGAGGTACAACTGTGACACTAGAGATGACAAGATACAATGAGAATCAGCTGCAGAGAAGTGAGGGCAGCAGAAGCAGGGAGGTGCCAGGAGAGGGAATTTGGGCTTTTCTTGACCACAGAGTGGGAAAGCTGAGTGCCTTCAGGCAGAAGCTTGCTGGTCGAGTGGCCTATATCCAGAGCACTTGTCTGGGGAGCTGGGTTTGTTGACCCAAAGAACAAGAGCTAAGCCATTTTGGATTGAGGTTCACTTGTGGAATGAGATACCTCTGATGAGCATTCACTGATAAGTAAAAGAGCTTTGTAACACTTGGTGGAGCAAATCAGGCCAAGGGGCCACATGGTTGAGAAAACAGGGACCAGAGAGTAATGTGTTTGCAGCCCATCCTGATGAAAGTATTGAAGCCTTATCATTTCTAATACCGAATTGTAACATGTCTATTCTCTAATAAATCCTATAATTATAGGTATTGTCTGTGAGCTCTGTGTGGCCATGACAATGAATTATCAAACACAGCAGAATAGGGGAGGCAGGGGTGCTATCAGAATAAGTAAAGAAGATTGGACAGTGTAGGCATCTCTGACTGAGTATAGTGCTATTAAAAACACACAATGACTGGCTACATAATTTGCAGGGCAGAGCGTGAAGCTAGCAGAGTTCCTCTTCGATTTTTATTAAAATTCTAATAGACAAAGTGTTAGACTCAATGTGGAGTTCTAATCACAACTTCATAGGTCCTACATCTAAGAAGCTAGCATTGACTTATATGGATGGCTTGTATCCAAGTTGTAGAAGAACACCAGCCTGTGTGATCCAAAGATAACTAATAATAAGATCCAAACATGGATGAAGGAACAGTACCAGTGTCTAAATCCTAAATATCCTATTTGCAAAGTGCTGTGGGTGATTGTGAGAGCAACAGTTCAAAATCCATTTGCAGAGTCTCTATGTGGGATGAGCCTCTGGTGAATCCTCAGTGCACCTGGTCCAGGAATGTCAACAGCCCCCAAACAGACCAAGAACATTTTAAAGTGGATTTTAGCAAGTGTACTTGGACTGGAATGTAATACTTTGTAACCTGATCTCCTTATGGACTCAATGTGAAATGATTCTAATTTTTAAATATATCTCTGTTTTCTCATAGATTGAGGTCTCTTTTGATTTTATATGGCTATTGTTGATGGATCCTTGTTTGTTTTCAGACCTAATATTGTATATTTATCTGTATAGGGAAACTTTTATGGGAAGATAGTAATGAAATTGATAATTGGCTGGGGCCCCTGAAGGGGAGGGTGGAGGAAATGAGGAGTCACTAACAGTATGTAACAGAAGGTAGAAATGATTCTGAACTTGATTATCTGTGATGGCTACACAGTACTTCTTCATATGAGTGAACTATTGAATTATATATGTTAATTAGAGTTCAAAACAAAATAAATAACATTTAAAGTACAGAAAACTCTCTGCCATTGTATTCATTCCCACTCAGGACTCTAGAATTCTACTCTCCAACCCTGTGAGCTTCTGAGACTGTAATTCTACCAGGACTGGAAAGCATCATCTTGCTCCTGAGGAGTGGCTGGTGGCTTTGAACAACTGACACTGCAGTTAGCAGACCCCCTTGTAACCCATTGTGCCAACAAGGCTCCCATTAGCCATTAATACTCGCTGCCATTAATTTAGCCTTTAGTAGTGTATTAAAACGAAACCAAAAGTGTTCTTGGGAGTTTGATGTAGTAGATTATTGAGAACTATAAAATAAAGTAGTGTTCAATCATTAAATTTTATGTTAGCAGATTCCATCATTATATTTTGTTATAATTAGGAACTGGGGGGAGTACATATAAGAATGATGAGAAATAAAGCAAGTCTGTGAAAGGTCTTTCTTGGGTGCCATGTCGTGGTTAAATTTATTATGGTTTACAATGATAAAACATGCTGTTTGAAAGAATTTGCCCTTATCTGTAGTGTAGACACATACCCTTGATAAATCATCTAAACTATTCTAAGATTCCCCAGTGTGCTGGTGAAGACAACCCGAGGAGTGGAATACTTCTTTCCTTTTTAAAAACATTTCTATTGTCTACTTTCTCTTTGTTAATTACAAACATGAAATTGTTTGTCAGTTTGTTTCCACCTTTCAAATTTCAAAATTGTTATTTAAAATTGCAGTTCCTGAGAAATTTGGCTTGAACCATATTATAGATTTCATCATTTGACTTGATTTCTGATTTATATTTCAGTGTGCCCGGTATGATAACGCCTTCATTACGGAGGTCCTGATTGACAGAGGGGTCAATGTAAACCAGCAAGATGAAGATTTTTGGACACCCATGCACATTGCCTGTGCATGTGATAATGCTGATATCGTTTTGCTGCTTGTATTAGTAAGTAGATAAATTCTTCCTATTGACTGATATAAGACTTGACCCATATGTTATAGCTCGAATTGTGTCACCCTTCCCATCCCCACCCCCACCCACAAAATTTGACATTCTCAACTCAATGCCTGTGGTCAAGATTCCATTTGGGAATGGGTTGCCTTTGTTATGCTAATGAAAGAAGATTAGTGAAGGGCATCTCTTAAGTCAAAATTTCAAATAAGAAAGTCTTGAGAGAAGCAGAGATGAGGAAAAAGAGAAGCCAAGCTAAGTGAGCATCTTCCAGGAGCAGAAACTCAGGAAGACAAAGAACTTTCTCCCAAGGGGCGGGGGAGAATCTTCCTAAATTAAACTGGCACCCGAACTTGTACTTCCAGCCTCCTAAACTGTGAGAAACAGATGTTTTCTTAAAACCTCCCACGTCTGATATTTGGCTTATAGCACCAGTAAAGGCGGCATATAAAATGTTATAAACTGAACTATAATATTTATAATTTTTTAATTGAAAAAAATGGTGCATTTATATAGGTAATTTTCCTAGAGCACAAGATAATTAGAGATTAAGGTTTTAGGTTACATAGTTCATAAAACAAGTTATGTATGGTCACACCTAGCTATATTGCTCCTGTCTGTCTTTGGACGTTATATGCCTTAATAATTGGCAAGTCTGTCATCGCTAGCAAAGTGTGAGCTATTTTCTTCTATTATTCTTCAGTTTACATTCACATTCTATTTTTTCACTCACCAGAGATATAATTATATTGACATGTAGCTTATATTGAACTTTTATCTTTGATACATCTAGTAATACAAATTCTACACTTAGTTACATAAAAAGGAAAATGTTAAATGTCAAAAACATTGCAGGTCTTCGATTTTAAATTTTCACTTATAATGTGGACCCTTGACAATGATTTTCTCACTCATTTCAGTTGCTTTGGAATTGGGCTTTTTGTTTTGCTTCACTTATTTGTAGAAACATTAAGAGAGTACATTTGAGTTTGGGAAAGCCTTCAGAGATCTGCAGGTAGTGATAAAGAATGTTATTTTTCATTACGAATAAGAAAAGGAGTTCTAAGATGTGCTTGTTTTACAAAGCCCTCAGTACTTGACAAGCAAAAGAAGTGATGTTTGAATACTATGAAAAAAAAACAAAAACCCTGCCACCAACCAAAAGAACAAAGATACAAAGTCTAGATTTGAAATCAAGATCACAATCCCCACAGTTCCTCCTGATTCTTCAGGGTTAAGCTGCCTGGATTCACTCTTAGGGCGACTGCCACATTACCAGGATCTTGGTGGCAGCAAATAAACAACAGATATTTCTCTCGCACATCTGGATGGTAAAAATCAGAAATCAAGTGGTGGCAGGGTCCTGCTCCCTCGAAACCTCTCGGGAAGAATTCTCCCTTACCTCAGCCGTCTTCTGCCAAGACCCACCAGCCTTGGTTTGTAGCTGCATCACTGTAAGATCTTCCTCCATCATCGACTCTGTACTGGAATCTCCCTCTTCCTTCTTTAGAAAGGTACCAGTCATTGTGGATTCAGGTTCCACACTAGTGCAATATGACATCATTTTAACTTGGTTGCATCTGTAAATACCCTGTATTCAGATACATATAAATGAGCTTAAGAAATAAGTTTATCTTTTGCACACAATTCAACACTGCCTGTTCAACCACTCATCTCTAAGTTTGTGGTTCTGTGGTGGAGGTTATACCACCGGTATATCCAATGCCACCATGGTCACCCACAGTCAGTAGGTTTCAGCAAAGTGAGGTTCCAGAATAGTAAGATTTCAGCCTACTTCCAAAATAGATCCACTTCTGAAAAATCAGCCCCTGAAAATCTAATGAGTAACAGAGCCCAACATAGTCTGATGTAGTGCCCAAAGTTGAGTGTATTAAGTAGTAAGAAATTGTTGGAAAGAGCAGGAACAAAGGAGTAAGATATCCCGTGGCTGACATCTGGGCAGATTATGAGGGCAGAATTGTAGGTATTTGGTGGGAGGTTGGATTGGATGAGAGACCAAGATTGACGGTCATATGATTCGCAAAACAGATGAGTGATTCCTCTTGCTTTTCCTTGGAAATTATATGAGGAAAGAAAAGAGCTCATGGATGACTTCCAAGTCTGAGCGAGAGACTTGAGGATTTATGACGAGAATTTTTGTATACTAAGATGGAAACATTTACAATTCTGTGTGAAACATAGAATTAGCATTTAAATGAATAAAAATGTCTTCAAGTAACAGTTTTAAATTATTCAGGAAATTTTTATCTTTAAGATTGTCTTCCTTGATTTTTGACATAAATATTTATCATAAATTATTTATAAATACAGATGTGTGTGTGTGTATGTGTGAGTATTACCAGCATATACTTAACAACATTAGAACATTGCTATTTAGGTGAGTCAAAACTGTTTAATGTTTTGGGGTAGGCTTAACTACTGTAATTGTTGTCAATTTTCTTGCCAAATGATCCACAAAACTCTAACAGATACTAATAATTAACTTTACTCAGCCTTACAATGTGTCATGCATTTTTCTACATGCTGTACTTTTGTCAACTCACTTAATTCTCACAAACTCAATTCTGTAGATGCTAGCAGACTGTTCATTTTATTGGTGAGGCAATTAAAGCAAAGACAAGTTAACACACATACAGAAGCCAGCTACTAAGTGGTGGAACCAGGATTTGAACTCGCAGACTACCTTCAGCAGCTGGAGCTCTGATCCTTCTGTATTACTGCTATGTTGCTTGCAATATAATTCACGCAGAGCAAACATTCCCAAAGTGGACTAACAATATCATGATAACCATTGCTGTATCCTACAATTTCTTTTAAAACTAAGTGTTGAAATTGGTTATTTAGAAGTTAGAATGTGAATTAAGAGGCATTATGCATATATGTTACTAAACAAAAATGCTCCATACCAATTTTCTCTTTGTTTCAAAAGTTTACATGTGAAATAATCCAGAGGGAGAATATGTTAGGAACTGAGAGTCAGGATATGATGAGTTCTTCAAAATGGTTTCAATATTTAAGGAAGGGAATATAGAGTGATTATTAACACAATTTCTATCATATGTTTCCATATGGTTTTGCAGTGTCTCCGCAGTTTTTCCCAATGCATTTCTCTGTCAGTTTGTGCTGTGTGTTGACATAACTCGGAAAGCATACCACCAGTGTTTCAAATACCACCAGGCTCACCCCTGGTCGGTAGGTTTCAGGCGAACTTCCAGACTGTGATTAGTCAGAAAGAAACGCTTTGCAGTCTACTTCTAAAGATTAGCTAATGAAAACTCTGGGGGGACAAAATAATACTGTTCAATTTAGTGCTGAACGTAAGACAACCAGACTGGAAGGCACTAGGCAATGGCCTCAGCAAGGACTCGATAAATAGTCCACCAATTTTAAAGGTGACGCAGGAACAGTAAATACTTAACTTTGTCGTACATGTGGTTGCCACGGATTAGAGCAAATTGAATGGCAAATGGCAATGCTGTTTCATATATATTATCATGCCAGACACTTAAGGCTTTTCCATGATGTATGCAGTGACTTAATATATAACTTATTTTGACATAAAGAGTTAAAATAGCCAAGAGGTTAGATAGTACAATGAATTCCCAAACCCTAATCTCTTACCTTTCAATAAAATATTTTAATATATCCTACTTTTTATGTCCAACATCCATAATTATTGAGAGTATACATGTACCCAACTGAGAATTCGCAGTCGCATTTTTTTATTTGAGCATCTCACTTACATGATTACTGTTTCCAATCTACATAACTCAAATGTTCTGCATATTTTTAAATTTGTACCATATTCCAAGCCTAATACTTATAACCCAACATTTTTTTCCAATAACTTCAGGACAATGTGTTATTTTCCAGGTTTGGGGAAGGCTTTGTGTTATTCAAGAAAACAATTCAAGATGGCAAAAAAGTGATTAACTCATGCCATATTTTATGTCCTTGAAAACCTGGATTTCCAGCACACACACACACACACAGAGAGTTTATTTCTATAGGTGTTTCTGTTTTTCTTTACTTCTTGCATATGGAGAGAGAGAGAAACTGAAGCAAAAACATACAAGTAGGAACATCTATACTACACTTTTGATAGGAGTAACAGGCCCTGAATACATGCTGTACAATAGCCTCAGAATCAATCACTTGCCTACTGAGAGAAGAACAGTAGACTTTCTCTGCTGTTTTGCGCCGTGCAATTTCATAGGATATGAATGATCTCTGAATAGTATTGCTCAGTTCTGACTCTTTTAACTGATTTGACTTCACACTAAAGATTTGCTTTTATCGGCAGCATGCTCCATCTGAATTTTCACATTCAGTGTTGAGGGGGCTGCATTTGCTAAGCTGCTCTTTATGTAGCAGTTCTAAAGCTGACAAGTATGTACATTTAAACAGTTCATTGCGTTTTGAGCCAGAAGAAACAAATTACTGTATTTTGGTGCTCATTCTTTTGAACGGGGAGTAGTTGAACAGAGTGCAACCACTGGCTGATGCCGTGTTCAAAAAAACAATTACCTGTGTTGCTGACTGTGTGTAGAATTACTCTATTTTTTTGTTTGATATTGATAACATTTTAGAAAGAATGGTTTGATACCTAATGTGTCCTGGAATCATTTAAAAGATGTTACATAAAGTGTATCTATTATACATAATTTCTAGAGATGGCCAATACAATCTAGGGTAAGATATTTTCATTTCTTTATTTTTAAAAGGATAATAGACACTATAAGACCATTGAAATATTCCCCTTATAGGCTACCAGGAGATCTTTGAAGACAGTTTCCTTTCTTGAAATCAGAGGTGTAGGAGACCAAACTAGCAAATCAATTGCCATCTGCTAAGTGCAGCATGGCAATATCTTGATCCCTCTTTCACTCCAGCAGCAATGCAATGATTATTGGCAACCGCAGTGACAGTTATAAACATCCTTGGTCATTTGCTTGAACATCTGATGTGAGTAA